GGGGGGTAGGGGTAGGGAGGGGGAGGGGGAGGAGTGAAAAAATAAAAACTTGAAGTTGATATTATTTTGAAAAAATAAAATTAATTTTTAGGGGGTTGGGTGGGGGGTTGGCCTATTTTAAAAATAAATTTTTTGAAGTTGAAATATTTTTAAAAAGCAAAATTAATTTTTTTGGGAGGGGTGGGGGTGGGGATCTGGCCGGTGGGGGGTGAGGATGGGTGAAAAAATAAAATTTTGAAATTGAAAATATTTTTTTAAAATGGGATAATGCACAAGTATTCCCTCAACCTATGCCCGAAATACCAGAGACACTTATACTATACTAAGGTCCTATTACCCCTGAACTTCTTTTATAAGTAATTTTCTACCACAAGATAGTGCCACGTAGGCCGAAAAGGGGTAAAAAATTATTAATAAAATAAGTGTGTCTCTGGGATTTCGGGCATAGATTGAGGGGTACTTGGGCATTATCCCTTTTAAAATTGATGTTTTTCCAAAAAAAAAATGTAATTTGAAATAGGAGGAAATTTTTGGAAAATGTGTTCTCCTTAATTTTTTTGAAGGAAAATCATTTTCCTTAATTTTGAGAAAAAAGAATTGATTTAAAAAATATTTTCCAAAACTTTTATCCCAACCAAACATGAGAAAATTAAAAAAACTAACATTTTTCAAAAAATATTTTACTTCATACCAAACACACTCTCAGTATCACTAAATGTCGCCTATAAAATTCATTAAAGAGGACGACTATATATTTTTGGTTTCCCACCATGCACTTTGTAATAAAAGATGTTCTAACTTAAAGTAAGAGCAACTATTTCTTGCTACTCAAAGAAATAGCAAATAGGAAGGAGTTGGATTACACTCTAAGCAAATAAGCAAAATAGATAGAGGAACAAAGACATACATAAATAATTATTTTGATCTCTTAATTTCACTCTTAAATTTTAACTTTTCTTTTGTGAATTGTTTCATTATGTAAATGCTATAAAGTAATTAAAACTTAATAAAATATAGAAAACTTGGAGCATAAGAATATCGATATATTGTTTTTAGTATGGTTCAAAATCCAGACCTTTACAATTGTGCTAAAACTACTATTTATAGACAACCAAGACATTACATTTATACATCAACCAATAGAAAAGTCCCACTCGAGTCCTTATGTACTTCACCCAATAGTAATATTCACCACGTTGAAAATTTTGTTAGTTATGTCAGCTAATATATCGTTAGTTATGTCAGCTAATATTTCTCTGTTGTCTGCCGGATGATTGAAATTCTTGAGAATTTATCCTTTTCCTTTGCCACCTCTCTTCATTTTTCTTGAACTTCTTCGCTATCTCCTCTAGATCCTATTAAATATTAATCTTCTAACCTTCATACCTCGCTATCTTCCTTTTCACTAGACACATATCATTCTCGGGGTCTTTTAACTCCGAAAATGATTTTAAAATTTATTACGTAAAATGATCATGATCAGAGATATAAAACTGTCAATGCCTATACTTCTTTGATTAAAGATGAAGATATTCCAACTATTCGAAAGGATTGCAAGATGAGTGGGCAAATTAGTTCGATTTCTAGACCCTAGAGCATTCTATAATACAGAAATCCACAATCTAAAATCACAATATGTTCATGTTCTAAGAAATGACACAATTCAAATCACAATATACTAAAATCTTTGAAGCATCATGTTTTCTATTCAAATTGTAAATTGCTCGTATTGTCAAATTGAAATTTTTTTACACTCATTACTCAACCAACTAAGAAGAAAAGTCTTGCAAAAAAAGTTATGAAATTCCTAAAAAGATGGCATAAAAAGTATCATTTTAACATCAAAATGTTATTTCTAGTTCATATTTCAGTGGTCTTTATATCATAGCTACTACATACACATTTTTTTCATGCATTGGAATTTGAAAAAGACTAAAAGAATTACTTTAGTTTATAATATCATTTGAATTATATTTTTATTAAGTCTCATTAGTACTATTTTATGGAAAAAAAAGTCAATTAAACACTAAAATAACTCTATTAAAAATAATTTGATAAATTTAATACATATTTTAAAATTTCATGTACAATCTAATAGTGTCACATAAATTATAACAGAGTGAGTATCCTCATATATATATCATCGTATCTATATCTTTTATACTATCTTAAAAGAATGAACTTCCTAACTTAAATATTAAATTATTATAATATTCCACGTTAAAACTCTCAATTTAGTATATGTTCTATATATAATATTATATTTATTTACGCTATATTGTATTAAAAGTAGGTAACTTTTCACATTGATGTGTTGTGATTTTTTCGAAAGGTTGTGACTTTTTTATATAAAGTTATGAATTTTTAGATGAGTTATGACAAATCTGAAAAGTTGTAATTTTTCTAAAGGGTTGTGACTTATCTGAAAAAGACATGATAAACACATTTTCATATTATCCTTTGTTGTATATAAATAGATGAGATTTCTCATGCTTTTAAACTAAGAATTTTGTAAGTTTTCTATTCTTCTTCTTAAAATAAGAAAGATTGGGAGAGTATCATGATAATTAATATGTACTCATTTTCATATCCATAAAATATACTTTCGCAATAACTTTTACTTAGCAAGAAGCTTTCAATAATTTTCCGTTGCACAAACTACAATTTGGTGTTCAGAATTTGAAAAGTCTCAAACTGTTGGAGAAAAAGTATTTGATCAACAACTTGTTTAAAGAGTCCAAACTACATTGATTAAGTACTTTTTCGTTTTCAATTTATTTATTATACTTATATTTTTATTCAATTTAACATAGAATGTTCTTTTTACTTGGGTGTGGGGGCGCATCTTTAAGGGTCTGTTTGGATTGACTTTTGACTTGTGACTTATAAGCCAAAAGCCACAAGTTAGGATTTCTAACTTATGATTTTTGACTTATTTTTGTTATTTTGGTTTTAAAGTAAGTGCTAGCACTTTTTAACTTTACCAAACCACTTCAAAACTACTTAAAAACTATTTTGGCTTAAAAACACCTAAAATAAGTCCATCCAAACGGGTACTAAAATCACAAAGTTAAAAGACATTTTTATATATTCTACAGATGATCCTTTAAAAGTTTTCTTTATTTTTTAAACATATTAAATTAAAATTAGATCAATCTATATCTATCTTTTTTTAATCTATATTGACTATCTTAAAAAAATGAACTGCTTAACTTAAAAGTTAAACTATTATAATACCCCAAATTTAGTATATTTTTTGTATTTTATATTGTATTATATTTATTTATGTGTATAATATAATATTATATTAAAGACAAATATTTTTTCACATTGAAGGGTTGTGATATTTCTGAAGAGTTATAAATTTTTCGATGAGTTGTAATCTTTTTGATGAGCTGTGACTTTTATATAGAGTTGCGAATTTTCACAAGAGTTACGACTTTTTCGAAGGACTGTGACTTTTTCGAAGAGTTATGACTTTTCCATTGAGTTATGACCTTTCTCCTCCTCATCCTTCAAACGTTCTATTTAGTATATCTTCTATAATTTTATGATAAAAAAATAATATTCTCTTACTAATACTTTACATTTTAAGTATAAATGATGAGATTTCCCCTCATTTTTAGACTATGGCTTTTATTGTGTTTTCTATTTTCTCTTCTTAAAATCTGATTTACTGACTTTGACAATCTCAAAGTTAAGTGAAATTAGAACACTCCCTAACATGAATGTTAATTTAATCTAATACCCCAACTAAAAACATTCAATTTAGTATTATCTTCTATATATATATTTTTATCAATGTTAATACTATACTAAAAGTAAGAACGACAACAATACAATAATAACAGAAAATCATTATGAAAAGGGGAGGGAGGAGATTATTTTTAAAAATAGAATGGTATATGATTTGATATTCAGGTGCAACGCACGAGTATTACTAAAAGTGAAAAGAATCTAAGTCAAAAGTTGAATTACGAAAATATCCTTTAAGTAGTAATTTATTTTCGTGAAATTATTAAAAATATTATTGTTTAATTTAATATTTATTTTGAGATTCAATAAATTTTGACTGTTCATACTATGATAATTAATACTCTTATTTAATATTTATTTTGGAATTCAATAAGCTTTGACTGTTTGTATTAATAATATATATAGTCTAATTTTTGGACATAGAAATTCAATGAGCTTTGACCATTTGTATTAATAATATATACGGTCTAATTTTTGGACATAGGGATTCAATGAACTTTGACTACTTGTATAAATAATATATTGTTTAATTTTTGGACATATCTGCATATCATTTACTATAATTTAGTGTATATTTAACATTTTTGCCAAAAAAGAAAGATAATTTAAGATTTATTTTTAAAAAGAAAAAAGGAAAAAGATACCAAACAAGAAAACAAAATTTGGACACACATGGTTGATGTGTTTTTTTGTCTATAAAGATTGAAAATTTGGAGCTTGTTCTGCACATATTTTTCCCTCTTCAATAATTGTCAAAGCAAAATCTCGAGTATCCCTACTGCAATAAGACACTTTCACACTGCTCTATCAACAGAGAAATCAAGAAAATGATGGATTGTGGCAAGAAAGAGGAAGCAGGTCCATCTCATGGCGGTGTTACTTGGGATAAGAGGAAGGAGGAAGAAGATGGAGAAAGTGAAGAAGATGACCATCATCAAGATCCTTCTGCTGCTGCAACAAGTTTTATTCCTGGTCCTCTTCTTTCTCTTAAAGATCAAATTGAAAAGGACAAGGTGAAAAACTCTTATCTTTTTGTTGTTAAAATAAAAAAGCTTCCAACTTTATGAGTTTTAAGGTTTTTTTTTTTGATGTATCATGGGCATCTGAAGTTTCAACTCCTTTGATTGTTTTAGGGTTCTGCTTATCTTTTTTTTTTTTTAATCTCTGTTATCAAGATCATTGGGTTGAGTTGTTATGTTTTTTGCTCCTTTGGCGACTTGAACATATAATCTTAGGGTTGGAAATGAGGGGTGATGGTGCTCTCAATCTTAGGGTTGGAAGTGAGGGTGCTTACTATCCGAGCATATCTGAGTTGTTACGTAGATTGTTTCTTCTGGCAGTAATTTTTAAATTTGCCCCAATTTTGATATTTTAAAGGGTAAAAAGGTTTCTTTGGTGTTTATTAGGGTTGAGAATTTGAGCTTTCCCCTCATTGTTGTGAGTGGTGTTTCTTGGAATTTCTGTGCTGTTAACATCTAAAGTATTTCTTCTGCTTTGCTGTCAAGTTTGGTTTGGAGTTGCTTATCTTAATTGTTCCAGTTAGTTCTTTTTTTGTTTGTTTATTGTTCTTCAAGTTGAAATTATCTCCAGTTGCATTAGCTATGCTGTACTATCTAAGGCATTCCTTTTCAATTTTGCCTTGCTCACTCCAGTTTGTTTTTTAATGACTTCCTTTATTTTAATTTGATATAGTCTCCTGCATTTGCTAGGTATCTTGGTATGTGTTGAATTTCCATATGGTTGTTCTATACCTTATTTATGTTTGTGTAGGAGGATGAGAGCTTGAGGAGGTGGAAAGAAAAGCTGCTTGGTTGTCTGGAAAGCGACTTAGATGGTTTGTCCCTGACCATAGCATACTGTTTACGCTGCAATTAACCTTTAAATCTTGTTTAATGACTATTTGGATCAATTTGCTAGGGCAAATGGAACCTGAAGTTAAGTTCCACTCAGTTGGAATCCTTTCCTCTGACTTTGGGGAGATTAATACTCCATTACCTATCAAAGAAGAACAAAGCAATTATGTCCTCTTTACGCTCAGGGAGGGCTCTGAGTATCGGCTTAAGCTAACATTTAGTGTTCTACACAACATTGTGTCTGGTTTGGCCTACACAAATATAGTATGGAAGGCTGGTCTTCAAGGTTTGATTTCTAGTCTCATTTCCTCTTTTCTTTTGCACCCTATGCTTAAAAAATGCTTTGTTGGACAGCCACGCACATAGGGATCAAATACTTGCATTTCATGGTGCAGTTCTGATGTAAAATGGGATTAGGAATTCTGCGAAATTTAAGTGAAGTCTTCAATCCCACATGAACCTCAAGAACAATTATGGAAAGCAATAAGAGGATAAGAAGATTAAGATAATTATTGGGAAAATACACACCTAAGAAATTAATTACCTAGACATATATAAAATGCAACCTACAATCTTGAATCTAGAAAGGAAGGTTTAATTTATTATTGAAATGCAATCAACACAAAGAAACAAATGAAGAAATCTAGGAACTAATAAATCAACATTCAAATGCGAGATACAATCCAAAGGGAGAAGAGATATGTACTCATACATGAATTACTACTACGAGTAGTTCATGGGATAATCCAAAACAGTCCCTCTTCAAAAGAAAGACCTAATAACCTATTTATTCTGGGGTTCATTTTTCTAAGAAAAATACTGTACTCTCTAACTTTGGGATTCCTAATTTAAGATCAAAGACATGCCTCTTCTTCTCTTTTTGGGCCTCTAATTGTCTCCCCTCTTTAAATATCCACATACGTATATTGTGGATCTTGAAGTTCGAAAGAAGCCTTCAAGTTCATAAGGTCACGTCACATCCAATCATGTTCTCAGGCAACATGATTATATTTGTTTATTCAAGCAGAGGACTTCTTCAAGTTGTGCATTTATCAACTGAAAAGACCATGTTATGCTATGTGAATAGAATCATTTAGTTTTCAAGTTCTAGTCATGTTGATTGTGTGTGATTTTCATGAAACAGTCAATTTGGATTATGGTTCTGCACTAGGTGTTCCTTAAAACCTTGTATCTAAGTTTGGCATGGAAAAGAGGCCAAAAGACTTGATCTCCAAGTCTGTGGATTCTTTAACTTCTTTTTTTTTAAAAAAAGAAAATAAAGACTTCACAGACTTGGATATAATGTTTTAAAGGAACACCTAGTGGATTCTCTCTTCTTTGGATGGAATCTTAACAAATGTTGCCTGATTTTGTTTCTGAGATGACTAGGGAATTTAAGGCGGTCTTGAAAAACCTATTGATGACTGATCTTATAAATAATTGTATTCTCTATAATAACATGTTCGTAAATTATAGAAATTCCAACTCCGTATACGACGTACATTATGATCTAAACTTCATTCGACTCGTATTTGGTTCAATTTCTTGGAATATTTACTTAAAAAGAATTTTACCACATTTTGTAAGTGAGGTTATTACCATTTACAATACATATATCGTAGTGTTTTTCTTTATGCAACACATGCAACACTAAAATAGGAAGACATTAAGTGATTTAGGAGTTGAATCAGTCTTCTATGGTGAAATTTACTTGCGTATTCCAATAATTTCTTTTTGTAATTTTGCTAAATACATGACTGCATAATATTTTTACCATAAGTTAAGCTATTCAATCGCGAGTTTTCTTTTCAACTACAATACTCAAAGATAAGATGCTTATTCAAAAATCAGTCTACAAGTCTATAGAGCAAAATTGTCATCAAAGCAACAATAAGAAATATTAGATTCATGTTATGGAATGTGAATTTCTGAAGTTATTCTATGTTAGTTTGTTTCAGAGGTAATAAACACTAACTCACTTCTGTGTCCCTCTATTTCTTTAGTGCCTCTCCTCCCCAACCATTTAAATTTCCACTCCAGGAAAAGAAAAACCATAGGAACTATAAGAGTGTAATTAATATTTACATTATATCTCTTTTTGGGCTTCTAATTGTCTCCCCTCTTTAAATATCCACATAGGTATGTTGTGGATCTTGAAGTTCGAAAAGAAGCCTTCAAGTTCATAATGGTCACGTCACATCCAATCATGTTCTCAGGCAACATGATTACATTTGTTTATTCAAGTAGAGGACTTCTTCGAGTTGTGCATTTATCAACTGAAAAGACCATGTTATGCTATGTGAATTGAATCATTTAGTTTTTAAGTTCTAGTCATGTTGATTGTGTGTGATTTTCATGAAACAGTCAATTTGGATTATGGTTCTGCACTAGGTGTTCCTTTAAACCTTGTATTAAGTTTGGCATGGAAAAGAGGCCAAAAGACTTGATCTCCAAGTCTGTGGATTCTTTAACTTTTTTTTTTTAAAAAAGAAAATAAAGACTTCACAGACTTGGATATAATGTTTTAAAGGAACACCTAGTGGATTCTCTCTTCTTTGGATGGAATCTTAACAAATGTTGCCTGATTTTGTTTCTGAGATGACTAGGGAATTTAAGGCGGTCTTGAAAAACCTATTGATGACTGATCTTATAAATAATTGTATTCTCTATAATAACATGTTCGTAAATTATAGAAATTCCAACTCCGTATACGACGTACATTATGATCTAAACTTCATTCGACTCGTATTTGGTTCAATTTCTTGGAATATTTACATAAAAAGAATTTTACCACATTTTGTAAGTGAGGTTATTACCATTTACAATACATATATCGTAGTGTTTTTCTTTATGCAACACATGCAACACTAAAATAGGAAGACATTAAGTGATTTAGGAGTTGAATCAGTCTTCTATGGTGAAATTTACTTGCATATTCCAATCATTTCTTTTTGTAAATTTGCTAAATACATGACTGCATAATATTTTTACCATAAGTTAAGCTATTCAATCTCGAGTTTTCTGTTCAACTACAATACTCAAAATTAAGATGCTTATTCAAAAATCAGTCTACAAGTCTATAAGAGCAAAATTGTCATCAAAGCAACAATAAGAAATATTAGTTTCATGTTATGGAATGGCAATTTTTTGAAGTTATTCTATGTTAGTTTGTTTCGGAGGTAATAAACACCAACTCACTTCAGTGTCCCTCTATTTCTTTAGTGCCTCCCCTCCCCAACCATTTAGATTTCCACTCCAGGTAGAGAAAAAACCATAGGAACTATAAGAGTGTAATTAATATTTACATTATATCTCTCACAAGCAGTGGCGGGGCTGTAACATGTATTCTTGGCCACCTCCAAAAGTGTGATTACAACGATAACTAATTACGAAAAGCCTAGGAAGTCCATTATCTGTATTTCATCTTCTATACATTGTTCTTTACACCAAAAATAAAGAGTGGAAATGCATTTTTCTTTTGATCTTCTGAATTGAATTTGATTTTCCCATAAAAATTCTTTCATTCCTCTCCTTCCATATGGTCCACCACATGTAAGTTGGGCCAGTTTTTCACCATTTCTTCCGGCTTTTGATTCCCCCTTTCCGATCCAGCAGCTCAACAATCTGCCATGTGTTCAGCCATTTGTTCAGTTGGATGGCTTCATGAGTGAAGCATGCCTTTCTCACTGTCAGCCAGGTAAAGCATTTCACCTTGGTTGGTGCCATGCTTTTCCAGGTAGCTTTCCGGGGATCCTCTACTTCTTCCTGACAACTCTGATAGTCTCCTCTACTAAACTCTATTGACTGTGAATTGGCCATGTGTGTTGTGTTTCCATCTTATGGTGTCAGGTTCATTGGTAGTCCCTGTGAAGGTTCCTATACTACCAAGTAAAGCAGCCACTCTTTCAACCTCCAGTCATTCGAAAGTCTTCTGAAAATCAAATCTCATCCTTTAGCTGTCTAGATTAGTCTTAGTGTTGATATTTAGTTGATGTTGATCCTTCCAGATTAGGCTTAGTGTTAAACTACTACAATGAACATGTACCTAAACCTAGGAATCAAGATGAATGAAATAAGCTGATCTTACACCCCTCAATTTTCTACAACTCCACCTTTTTTCCTTCTGTTATCTTCTTTTCATTGATTAACTAATTACCATTGTTGTATCATAGAGAATAATAAACAAAATATCAAAAGAAAGGAGAGGATACGGAATAAGCTCGATAAGTTGCAATTACTGTCATATAATCTGGTCAAAAAATACTTTAAGTACTGTGAAAATTCCTTTAGTTTGATTCTCGAAAAGTGAAGTATAAGAAACATATATAAGATAAAACAAAGAGTGATATAATTGTACAGTGAGAGGTCATAAAATACTTAATATACAGAAAAAGACTTGTTCTAATGACAAATTTGAAGGTTTGTTAAATAATATTTTCTTGCTTAATAGGTATATCTGAGATTGAATCTTTGGAAATTACCTCATTTATGATAAGCAGAATGACTTCAACTCCTCATTTTCAATAAACTATTCCTAAAACCAACAAAAAGTATCTTCGAGCATGCATTTTAGAGCATGTACAAAAATCCACTTCCAATCTATTAATAGATGGTGCATAGCAAAATCACTTTATCAATAAGGGGTCGTTTGTTAGAGTCTATCAACAAAAATAATGCATGTATTAACTGTGTATTAATAGTTCTTTGTTTGTACACTTTTTCATGCTATGTATAACTCTATTGTGTATTGAGGAATGTACTACTAATACCATGGATTTCTAGGTATTAGTAATGCAAAGAGATTTAATACATGCATTAGCATGGGTAAAGACCCAATTACCCCTCAAAAACATTTTTACATCTTTTTCACCATAATAATGGATAATAATGGAGGATATTTTGTAAATAAATATTTTTGTACAATGCATACTATTTTTATTACACCAAATCAAACAATGCATAAGAAATAATGCAAGCATAACTAATACAAGCATACTAATGCAAACATCAATACACTACATTGAACATCATTTTTATACACTCTACCAAATGACCCCTAAGTATATAAAATAATCACTGTTTGATCTGCCTGGTCATAGTAAAAGACTCACCATATTAAATAGCATTTGTCATCACAAGTTATATATCTCACATTCCATAGCAGTTTTCCCTAATTTAATCACTATATTTCTAGCAAATGTTTTTTCATTTGTGTAACTTCTAATCACAGAAATACTTAATGTGTATTAATCTCTCACAATTTAACTACATCAGGTTTGTTGTTTTTGTTTGTATTGATAAAATGATTTTATTTTTTCAGCCAATATTTTGAGGGAAACATACGAGAAAAATGTCAGAAAATTAGCAAAAAAGATATTTCTACCAATGATTGCCTAGGAGAGATGCCAAATCACGTACTATATGCCTTGCTTTACTATATATAGATAGATGTGATTTCCTTTGTTGAAAGAGATTGTTCAAGTATGAATGGGTTCATATAGTAGATTTTTCCTTATCTGGGATTCCCTTTAGCAGGAGGTATAAGATGCATTTCTGTCTAGAAAAATTGTAGACAAACGTTTGAGGCAAGGTGCGCCAATCGTGGAATAGAACTAGAAAGAGTAGGAAGGCAAGCGGTTTATGCATGGTTCTTTATCAGTTGGAAAGAGTGCAAGGGTTTGGTTGGTTAGATATGTATCCAAGTGAGAAATTTATTTAATTATCACAGTGAAAAGAACAATCCAACTCCCCATGGATGTAAACCATATGCTTGCAGAACCGCATTAAATTCTTGGTACTTTTCTCGTTCTATAATCTCTAGTTCTACTTTTTCATCAATCCCATGCATTTATGCCAAACTTGATTCACTTTTTTTTATAGCTAAAATGCTTGCATAATTTCTTTTGGTCACTATCCTAATATTAGGCTCAACGTTATGTTCGATGAAAAAATAACTTAGTACTAAACAAGTATTACCTCCACTTTTCAATATTCACTTACTTCTGTTGTTGACTTTCATGACATATTGTTGTTTCGCTCATTTGAATGTCAGTTGATCAAAGTAAGGGAATGCTTGGCACCTTTGCTCCTCATCGAGAACCCTACATACATATGCTAGAAGAGGAGACCACTCCATCAGGTGCACTTGCAAGAGGAACATATACAGCTAAACTTAAGGTAAGAGCATTTTGTATTGGATTCAATATCACTTGGTATTGTTCATTTCATTAGTGAAATCATTCTATAAGTCCAGCTTGTCCAAGAGAACAAATATAGTGGTCATTACAAATTAACTTTCCACTGATATAGATCTAGTGTGTATCCTAAAGATAGCACAAATTTTAACCTTTAGTTTCCCATTGTTTTTAAATTGGCACTAGATAATATATCTGAGAGTCGACATTCATATTTGATAGCATCCACTTTGGCATACCTCCATTAAAATTAGGAAAATTACCTAAATACACAACTAATTTTATCATATTTCTAAAATTTGAAAAAAATACCCTACTCTATCCTATTCTCGGATTCATCACTTTACGCGATGTATCAGTCGGATGCATCACTTTATGTGATGTATCGAGACGTTGAATGATGTTTTTGAAATCGAGATGTGATGTAGAGGGATGTACCCAACATCAGGATGCAATTTTTCAGGACATTTTGGGATGTATTTAGGTTCCACCAAATTTAAGGGATTTTTGTAATTTAAAAAAAAAGTACAGATATGATGTAATTAGTTCTTTAACACTATGCAATTTGTGTTAAATTTTCTTAAAATTAATGGAATCCACCAAATTTGATTTTTCATCGAATCCCATTAGTTTTATGGAAATTTTACACAAATTCCATAGTGTTCAGAAGTAATTACATCATATCCATGCTTTTTTTTTTCTAAATTACAAAAATTCCTTAAATTTGGTGGAACCTGAATACATCCCAAAATGTCTCGATAAATTGCATCCTGATTTCGGATACATCCCTTTACATCACGTCTCGGTTTCAAATACAACATTCGATGTCCCGATACATCGCATTAAATGATGACTTCAACAATAGGCTAGAGTAGGGATTTTTGTAATTTTTTCAAATATGATGAAACAAGTGGTGTATTTAGGTAATTTTATTGGGGGTATTATGTTATCTTAATGAGAAATGACATGATTAATATTATTTGAGTCTCTTCGTGTGTGGACTGGTGACTATGGATTCATTTTCCTTTTTTTAAGAGGTAAAATAAATTCTTAACTTGATATCTTTGATTTCTATTAAAGTAAGTATAATTAAAAAAGGTGATCAGTTTTATATTAATAGATGTCTCTAATTTCTTTGAAATAGGAGTCTAGATTACCTTTGATTTAAGTTCTCTAATTGACTCTATGAGATAATTAGTGTTTTCTTTTATTTCTCACACAAACAAAAGAAGAGATAGAAATGATATATATTTCATTTTTTCTTTCGGAACACAAAATCCTCGAAAAACTGGAATAATCCATATTTTTAAATAGTTTAATCTATTAGATGATATTATGGAGCATATTTGAATAGTAATATACTAGATATTATCGAGTATCATAATTTGGGGGAGTAAATTTTTCTTACCAAAATTACGAGTAAAAGAAATAAGAATTAAGAAATGAAATGGAAGTGGAAGAGAAATGGTGAACAATCAACGCAACCACTTTAAGCTCATGACTTGAGAAAATCATAATTACACTTCACTTGTTATATGTTTAGTGGTTATCTTCTCCAAAAATATATTAAGTGTTACCATAAAGTTTGTACGTATCTCCTTCTACTATTTTATTTGGTTTTGTTTTTTTCTCCATTAACTATTTTATACAAATTCAATAATGTGTTAGCATGTTATTTATTTGAAATTAAATAAATGATTAACCTTGAGTTATAATTAATAAATTTAGTGATGTTTTGTTTAATTAATTTATTTCTCAACATGCTTGGATTCTACAAAATATAAACACATTACCTCACATTAATTACTTTGTATTAAGAAGAGTGAAAGAAAAATCAAATCTTTGTAATAGCTTGTGAGAAATAGGGTTATGGGTTAGTAGGTGTACTCAAATCTTCACTAATAGTATTTGAGTACACCTACTAACCCTATTTCTTATAAAATATTGAAATATATGAATTAACGTTCACTCTATTTAAAAAAGTAATAATGTGAGGTGCCGTGTTTATATTTTGTATTTTCCAAATTGTTAAAAAATAAAATTTATTCAACGGAACATTAATAAGTTTATTAATTATAACTCACTTGTTAATTATTTATTTAATCTCAAATTAAATGTAACAAATTATTAAATTTGTATAGAGCAATTGAAAAAAAATACTAGAAGGGATATATACAAACTCTATAATAATTTGTATAAAGCAATTGAAAAAAAATACTAGAAGGGATATATACGAACTCTATAGTAACACTTAACATATTTTTGGGGAAGACAAATACTCGACATATATTAGGTAGTGTGTAATTATGATTTTCTCGAGTAACGAGCTTAAGGCAACTATATTGATTGTTTACCATTTGTATTCCGCTTACCCCATATTTCATTTCTTATTTCTTTTACTCGTAATTTTGGTTAAAAAAAAAAATCTCCCCCAAATTTTGATACTCAATCATATCATCTAATATAGTACCATTTAAATATTAAATTGTACTCAATATTATCATCTTATATATCGATCATTCCAATTTTTGGAGGAGGATTTTATGTTTGAGAGAATGAGATACGTTTCTTTTTAAAAAAAATCTCTTTTGTGTGAGAGAAATAGAAGAAAACACTAACTATCCCAAATATAATGGGATTCATATCCTACTTTTATGGAAATAATATATAGGAAAATTTAAAATATGAAACTTTTAAATAAGGAAACTTTGGCTTTAAACGTCCATCTCTTTGGGCTCTTTTTGGGGGTTTCATGACCTAATCTTCTTTCTTTTGATCTTGAATTTGGATATTTCTATTGTGATAATTATAGGGAAAATTATGCAGAAAATTAAACATTTAGCCTATATTAGGTATATAGCTATAGTTTAAGAAAATTGTAATTTGCGGCTATAGTTTTCCCAATTCTTGCTATTCGCCTGATTTTTATGAATCCAAAATTTTGTATATGCTTACCCTAACTATTTGTATACTTGTATATGATTTATGAAAAAATCATAATAAATTACCTTGTTCGTATATTGGCAAGCGATATATACAAATGGAGTTCTGAAAAATTCTGAAATGTATAAATACATAATTTGTATATACTTACCCTATTTGCATATTCGCAAATGATGTATACAAACTTGAAGAAATATACAAAACTAAAACTATGTAGGCAATTATCGAATCTATAGTTTTAGAGCCTTATTATGTCTATTATGTTTGTTATTTCTAAAATTTTCTATATTCTTGATTGTTCATTGAAGTCCATTATTTTAATGGAGGTATGCTAACGTGGATGCTATCAATATCTTTCTTTTGTTTAGAAATGTTGAAATATCTGCAGTTACATATTGAATAAGTAGAGTTCATATCACATTCTTGTTGAGTGTGCTCTGATTAATCTGTGCATTCATGCAGACATATAGAAAATCAGTGCTTGGTCTCACATCTGAAAGATGATCCATCTGATGTATACATCAATAATAATTGTCTAGCTTAAAACAGAAGGATTTTGTTTGTCAAACAGTTTACGTTCTTTGCAAACATAACTCATTTAACTGGTATTTAGAAAACATAATTAGTTTGATCAAGTAAGGTGGCACCCATGAAGGAGAGGAAAGTGAAAGCTTTTAAGGTGTAACACAAGTTCACATGGTGCACACTCTTTTGTACTCAATTATGGTGTAGCCCAAGGGATAAATCCATGAGGCTTGTTGTGCCAAAACAGACAATATGTGTCATGGACTTAAGAGTAATAGATTTATAATAGAAAATAAATATTTTTCAATCCTGCATTCTGAAAATGGGAACATAACTTATGCACGACAATGCTGCGTGTATTTGCACTATGGTAAAGTGCACTCCAACATACAATTGTCTGTGGAAAGCCTAATTTTGCAACCTAGAAGCAAAGCAAAAGCATCCACAGTACAAAAGAAGCCGTTTTGCTTTTGTATCCATCCTTTTAACACAATTGCCTGTACCAGGTATTGTGTGCATGTTCCGCAACTTAATGACTGTACATCTCTGGCTTCTCTATGTGTTTTCCAGTTTTTGTTTCAATTTACTGTTCATATTGGAGAGTGATGATTTTGACGAATTCTGTTTTTCTGTGGACTTGTTTTCTGCAGTTCATGGATGATGATAAAAGATGTCATTTGGAGCTCAACTATTCATTTGAAATCAGCAAGGCTAGGTAGCCAAGGTATCCCTGCAGCTATTTCTGGCCTTCTTGGAAACTGGATATTCGACTGAATTCGTAGTGTCTTTGGATTGTGCCCTCGTTTACTGGATCCAGCACATACATAGCAATAGCTTTAGCAAATATGATTTACTTTTACAGTTGATCTCTTGATGCCTTGTATGAAATTTGGCTGTTTTTCATGTTACTGCAACAAAATCCTTTATTTCACATTGCTAAAGCCTTTTTTCCTTGTGCATGCCAGACCGCGCATTACAAATTAACACTGAATGCACCTGTTATGATCCTTTTTTTTTCCTTTCGTATTCGAAGTTGATATAGATTTCAACTCTTTAACTTTACATATCTGAGTTTCTTATTGCAGAACCATAATATTAACTTCATAGTTTTCGAAGTTTTAATGCCTTATATTACATTACACATCTCATTGAAGTTAAGGATTGTCCCATGAAACAAGGGACTTTACAAGAGGCATATAAAGATCTCCAACTCTGTTGGTGCCTTTGAAATTAATCTCCTGCATTTCTTCAGCTTCAAAGTTGTAAATATGTAACAAAGGATATCCTTCTTCTCTCTGGAAAAATATCTCCTTAGTCGACGCGCAAAGGGGAATAAATCTTGTGATATCATATAACCTGTTGATACTGTACCTCTTTAACCAACTCCCATTCTTCAGTATCCATACCTGAATCAAGTTCAATGTGGCATGAGTTATGAAGCTCAGGGACCCTCCGATTTCAACGAGTCGATCGTTTTTCGTGCTGCTGATTGGTAGAGGTACAGTTAGGAATTTCTCATCATGAAATCCCAAGGAGACTACATGGTTACAGCCATCAATCTGTGGAAGCCAATACAAAGCACCAATTGCTGAAACAGATCTATGAGTTGTGATCAATCCAAATTCTCCTGATTTAGGTCCATCCACTGCATGCCATGATCTTGTTGTAAGGTTCAGGATCTCACAGCGAATGTTTCTAGAGTCATCGCGGAACAAGTGTACCACTTTATAAGCACCTGTGAAATGGCTGAACATGAAGGCATAGCACTCCTTCATGAAGCCAATCGTACCAAGAGGCACTCGAATGTGGTTCCGTGTACTTGGATTCATAACAACTAGACCTCCATTTTTCGTAATCTTGGCAAGGACCAAACCATTGCAGGCAGCCAAAATGCAATTGATGTTCCCCAAAGTATCTGGCATACAAACTTTTTGGCCTTTGCCGCTATGGATATCCCAGAAATTGAAATAAAGTTCATTCTTCTTATCTGAAGGTAGTGGAAAAGGTGACCGTATGTTTTCCTTGTGAAAGGAATTTTCAGTGATTAGAACTCTCTCAGATTGACGGAAGTGATCTTCAATAAAACGCGTACTGTTGATCATGTTGAGAAGTGACTTGCATACGCAACGTAGTTTGCAGAGAGTTTCAGCGGGAAGTAGAAGAAAAACCTCAAAAAGCAAGTCATCAGGAAGCAAATTCCCCTTGGTCTCTAAATTATCATCCATTTCTTCTTTTGTTTCCCTTGATGTTGTGCTTTGTGTCGGCTGTTCAAGCGCGATTGTTTCTACAGATGCCAATTTAAGCCTCTTTTTACCTCTTGGCGACCAATTTCTCATGACGTAAATCTACTCAAATCAGAAAGCTCTAAAAGAATTCTGCAACCAAAACGAAAACAAAAACATTTCAAAACGAAAAAACTCAATGCCAGCATCTCGTTATTACCTCAAGTGTTTGTGGGGTAGCACACAGGTTTATGTAAATTACAAGAGCACAAAGTCTCAGCAATCAGACAGTTATTATACATAGAAAACTCCATCATTTTTTCTGTACTTTCTATATGGAACTTAATGCTTGTCTCTACTCCCACCTTACCTACCCTTGTTGGCCTTTTGATCTTCCCAAAGACAAAATATTACCTCTTACAAGGATAAACTGCAAAGAAAATCGTTAAAGAAAGAAATACAAGGACCATTAGCGGCTTTAAGCCAAAGAATGAATTCACTACAGTTTGCTAACTGAAAGATGTGAAAATTACTTAACAAATGAAGAAGGATAAAATAATTTGTGTTCTTGATGAAATTGAACATATGTAGAAAACAAAACAAAACGAAAAAAGATGGTAAATGTGAGCAATCTATATACTCGCACGCTTCAATTTAAAGCACCAATCAACTCAATTACAGAGTTATAAACAGAATACAGCAAACCAATCATCGTAAGCAATACCTATGAATACTAAACTTGTGCCCTCAGCTAACACCAGTTAAAGGCGCTTTAAAATCTTCGTTAGTCTCAAACATCTCTTGAAGAGTGCATATATTAGAGAAATGACATCGAGCTTAAAACACTAGTAGAATACATCTTGGATCAATAAGATAGGTTCTCGGGCATCAAGATTGCCAGTTTTTTTAATGACAGAGAATAAGAAAACTAGCAAGACTAGTGTAGTAGTTTATATGAAACCATTACAACCCCAAACACTCCCGTCATATGATTAGTTTTCTCCGAACAGGCAGCTATCTCACAACGGGTAACCTTTTTACATTCCCGGGACATAGCATGTAACATAATCGCCCTCATTCTCTTTGGCATATCTATAGGTGGACTAAATATATTACAACTCAGCTCCAGTCAATCTTGGACAAGTTATAGCCAGCTTTTACATACCAAAGCATTATGAAACTAGTAGAGGTAAGAAAATAGATCACAACCTGTCTACGGAAACTAGGGAGGGATAGTCTACGTAAAGGTATAAAGCGGGACAAAAGAAGGGAATAATAAGATAAATAAATATGTCAAAATGAGAAAACTCCCTTTCTCTACTATCTTTCCTTTTTCACTTTTTAAACAAACAAAAAAAATATAAAAAAAAATCTACTTTTCCCTTCATTTTCTTCCGTTCGTCGCCATTCAAACGAACCAGAACACATAGCATTAAAAAAATTTCAACATAGTTACCTATGACAATAAGTTTACAGCTTGGTAATTACAACAGGTCATGCTGTGCTGAGTTATCTTAACATTGAACGTTGAAATAAGCAAAAATGATAGATGAACAAAGGTTTTCAATGGAAAATCATGGAAATAAATTAAGAATGACAACACAGTTGAGTAAAAAGAAACAAATACAGACCCATAAATGAACTCTCTCCAAAATACAGTTATAACATATTCCTTCATGGTATGAGAAGATCACGGTTTGATTTAACGCACATAACATAGATTTGAAGGCTTTTCCCTAAAAGGATAACATGCATTTATTTTATCTTGACATCTTGTTGTGCTTCCTCATTGCAGAACAGAACAGTTATTTATAAGTTAATTTACTCATCGATAACAAAAGGTAACATGTTAATTAAAATCAGTATCAAGTAAGTACCATGATGAAAAAGAAATTGTCACATTCTAAGTAGTTTCGGAGTGTAGCAAGTCCATCACAAGGCAAACAAATCATGTCAGTTATCGTTGATCCATTAGTTAGAAGTATTCAACAGAAGTCTTCTGTACTTCACATCATAGAGGAACACATTACACACCTTGCTTTCTTGAAGAAAGGTGCTCCCTTTAATCAGTCGCAAAAATAAATAGATCTGTTATTACAGTCTTCGATAAAAAATGTAATAACCATTTACAACTCTTATTTAGCTGAAATTAACAAATAACAGACTTGGTTTAAATGTGAAACAGTGCCATACCAGTCACAGATGAAACATTCATAATTGATTCAATATGACTACTCCTATAAATTATAATATGAAATTGTATCCAATCTCTTGCTGAAGCAGATGAACAATAGCTCGGATTTATAAGTTCACTGTCTCCTCCTTACCCATCCAACACCCCCACCATCGCCCCCCCCCCCCACCCAAACCCCATCTCCTCACCCCTATAGTATTTTTTTTATACATAAATACTCTTAGAATAATATTTTTTTTCTGACTAGAAAATAAGAAAATCCAAAAAAAAAGAGAAACATTTTACTTCATAACTAACACACCCTTAGCTCTCCATCACTATATGATAGTAGGATTCTCTTCCTTTTTTTAATTAAGAAAAGCCTAATTAAATACACAAATAGCTAACAAGACCTCATCAACATAGATCGTGATGGGATGGATAAGATTGCTCCCCTCGACCAGGAGTCTCACATTCGGGCCAAATAAAAATCATGTCATTGAAGCAATGAAGCCCTTCCCTATTAAAGGGACAGATTATTAGGTCAATAGGTTCTGGATTAACTCATATTCAATTAAAAAAAAAAGTAAACAGGAGCTCCAATTACCCATTCAACTCAACATTAGCAAGCAAGTAAAGAACAGTACTACACATTCAAAGTAGAAAAAATAACCCTACATGGTTCCTCTCATAAACTTCATCCCTACTCCATATGTTCCAATTTTTCAAAAAGGTCTACACTTGAAAGATAGAAAAAAATATAATGAAACCAAAATCTGCATGATGATCACAATCTCTCAGACACCAAAATAAAATAATAAAATTTAAGTTCATGGCTAACCTCTTTTCAAATCTTCTCTGTTAAGTCTGCCATGATCAGTGAAGTCTGCTTTCTTAACCCAAAAAAAAAACCTTTTAAGAATGAGTCTTTCTTTAATTCAACAAAAGTGATAAGTGGGCCTTAACCACTTTTTTTTTCCGCGAATAAATCATACGTTAAAAGTTTGGCTGATTAATTATAACTCGATCACCTCATTAATTTTTTTAATGAAAAAAATTAAAATTTTGAACAAAAATGGAATTAAAATAACCCACCTAAGTAAAAACCCACTCAAATTTTAAAAGGACAAATTACAGAAATCTTTAATTTTTAAGGTAAAATTACAATTTATCCCCTTAAAAGTTTATAATTACAAAAATTCCTCCAACGGATACAATAACATAAGCGTTGATATATTAAAAAGAGGATCAGATATATTAGTGGCCAAAAATCAAAGCGCTAAATACATTAAAAAGAAGGTCGGATACATGCATTGATACATAAAAAGAGGGTCGGATATATTAATGGAGAGTCCACATACATTAATGACCAAAAAGTTAAAGCACTGATACATTAAAAAAAAAATGATACATGCGTTGATACATTAAAAGGAGAGTCGAATTTATTAATGGAGGATCTATTTTTGACTTAAAGAGAAAATTAAGGAATTTAGGAGATTTGTAAAACTTATAGAGGATAATGATAATAAGTAAACTAAAAGGTCCGTGAGTATTTCTATTTAAAAAATATAATATTTTTTCTTAAGAAGTATAAGGACAAATATGCCCTTTTACCTTAATACCTTGA